ATTTGTATTAGGAAAGCCCCGAAGCTTTTGGCGGCAAAGGGGGGGGGGGTGAAGGGGGGTGGCTGAGCGGGAGATGGGTGGTGGTGGGGTACTTGTGGTGCACGCTAACCGGAAGGGGCAGGGTTGGGGGTCCCCTCAGCTCCTCGGTGTCCCTGATTGCCAGGAGCTGAGGGGAAAGATGCGTATGGCCCTTACACATCTCCCCGCCGGCTGTTAGCAACCTGGGATGCTCTGGCATGAAAGGGGGCTGCATGTGACTCAAAGAAATGCTGGTTGAGGCTACAGCCTCAGTCTGCCTCATTATAGGGACGGCCCTGGACATGGTAATGTAAGGGTTGACATATTAATGCATGGACTGACATAGTAATGCATGGAGTGGCATAGTAATGCAGGGACTGACATAGTAATGCAAGGATTGATATGGTAATGCAAGGATTGACATGGTAATCCATGGACTGACATAGTAATGCATGGACTGACATAGTAATGCATGGACTGGCATAGTAATGCATGCACTGACATAGTAACGCATGGACTGACATAGTAATGCATAGACTGGCATAGTAATGCATGCACTGACAGTACGGACTGGCAGTACATTTTACAAGGATCAAACATCTCGGCATGATACTTTCGGCAAACTTTTAGCCTTTCCACACAAGAGGCTGACACTCGGTATTGTGAAGTAGGGCAGTGGGAATGATTTTCTGGGTCATAACACAGAGGTGAAACACAGAAATGAAACCAGCACTTCCCCTATAGTGGGAGCTCCATCGCTGGATAAAGTGCTGCACAATCTCAATGGCTGGTAGGGAAGTCGACACAGAGTGACACTTTGTGGGTTCAGGCAGCAAGGACACGATGCCATAGGTGAAGATGTGAGAATTTTGCCATTAGTGCCAGTGGGATAGTCCTTAGTGTTATCTTCCGAGTATTGTCCATAGGGTGAATCTGTCACTTTGTTGCAATGACTGCACACTCACCAGTGACCCGTCGGGGGGATGAAGTAGATACAGCTGTGGATGCGGGAGTCGGGAATACGACGCTTCCGGTTCACCAGAATCTCCTCTCTCAGGTACTTCTCGTACTGTTCATGGATGTATTTGATGATCGGGTCCCAGCTGAAATGTAGAGGTAAATTAGATGGAGAGATGATACAGGGGATATGTGTAACTCAGGACCCAGAGGAAGAGGGGAGCAGCAGTTAGGCTATAAGGGCCCATACATGACCCTCACTTACTACGAGGATGGGCATACCTAATACAGTGGGTATGGAAATATTATTAACAGTAACGTGCCAGATAAAGAAATATAGAAGCCACTAAACTTGACCTAGTAAGACACTAGCCTGGCCTGGAACAAGCATGTGTATATGAAAGGTCCGGAAGCTCAATACACAGGTGCTTGTTCTAGGTCAGTGGCTTACCAAAGGAAAAGGAAGGCCGTCCAGAACTTAGACTTCCAAAAAGAAGTCGGCAACGAGTCAATTGAGTGGAAAGCCCGGGAACATCGATACAATATCAGTGAAGAGATGAAACTTAGTTTTCATACCAGTTCTGGTTGTTGATCTGATCCCCAAATCCTGGCGTGTCAATGACGGTGAGCCTCATCTCCACACCTCGTTCCTCGATCACTGCAGAGAGTAGAGAGAGTCAGGGCTATTCACTGTACGCTCATCTATTGGTCATATCCATCCCCTATTTATCCAAATGTCCCTCTTCCCTCCACAACTGTCCTTTTTTTTTTTCTTACACCAAAAGATATATATAAACCATTAGTTTAAAAAGGTCTACATTTAAATAAAGATGACCCAAAACTATGATAGTTCCCTTTATGTCTAACAAAGGCATTTGAGGTGTGCTGTGTTAATGTTATTTAACTGCATTGAATTCTTTTATTTAATGACCTGTTTGAATCGAGTTAAAAGGCATAATACAAGGCAATGTGACCAGATTGCAGTATGAGGGACTTTTTCCCCCCAGTAAGTTACAATGTAACAAATTGGTGTGAACAGGTCCTATAAAAAAACAACAAAGTACATTGTAATGGTCAGATCTTTGTGGGCACCTGGCCATCACACCAATATGAACTTGTTGGACATCCAATTCCCAAACCATTAATATGGAGATGACACCCTCCCCCTCTTTGCAGCTATAACAGCCTCCACTCTTCTGGGGAAACGTTCCACAAGATTTTGGAGGGTGTCTGTAGGTTTTTGTGTCCATTCAGCCAATAGAGACTTTGTGAGGTCAGGTCCTGAGGTTGGACAAGAAGTCCTGGTCTGCAATAGGCATGCCAGTTCATCCCAAAGGTGTTTAGAAGGGTTGATGTCAGGGCTCTATACAGGCCACTCAAGTTCCTCCACACCAAACTCATCCAACCATGTATTTATGCAGCGGGTTTTGTACACAGTGGACAGTCATGCTGGAACAAATAAGAGCCTTCACCAAACTGTTAACACAAGTTAGGAAGAGCACTATTGTCTAAACTGTCTTGTATGCTGTACTATTAACAGAACCCTTTACTGAAGACACCTGAACTCAATCATTTGGAAGGGAGCTATTCATCCTTTTGGCCATATATTAGGTGTGATGGCCAGATGTCCACAAACGTTTGGTCATATAGTAGGTGTGATGGCCAGATGGCCAGAAACCCTGGTCATATAGAAGGTGTGATGGTCAAATGTCCACAAACTCTGGTCATATAGTAGGTGTGATGGTCAAATGTCCAAAAATATTTGGTCATATAGTATGTGATGGTCAGATGTCCACAAACGTTTGGTCATATAGTATGTGATGGTGAGGTGTCCATGAACGTTTGGTCATATAGAAGATGTGATGGTCAGATGTCCACAAACCTTTGGTCAAATAGTATGTGATGGTAAAGTGTCCATGAACGTTTGGACATATAGAAGATGTGATGGTCAGATGTCCACAAATGTTTGGTCATATAGTATGTGATGGTGAGATGTCCATGAACGTTTGGTCATATAGTAGGTGTGATGGCCAGATGTCCACAAACGTTTGGTCATATAGTATGTGATGGTGAGATGTCCATGAACGTTTGGTCATATAGAAGATGTGATGGTCAGATGTCCACAAACGTTTGGTCATATAGTATGTGATGGTGAGATGTCCATGAACGTTTGGTCATATAGTATGTGATGGTGAGGTGTCCATGAACGTTTGGTCATATAGTAGGTGTGTTGGTCAGATGGCCATACACATTTGGTCATATAGAAGGTGTGATGGCCAGATGTCCACAAACGTTTGGTCATATAGAAGATGTGATGGTGAAGTATCCACAAACTCTGGTCATATAGTATGTGATAGTCAGATGTCCACAAACATTTGGCCATATAGTAGGTGTGATGGTTAGATGTCTACAAACGTTTGGTCATATAGTATGTGATGGTGAGGTGTCCATGAACGTTTGGTTATATAGTAGGTGTGTTGGTCAGATGTTCACAAACGTTTGGGCATATAGAAGGTGCGTTGGTCAGATGCCCACAAATGTTTGGTCATATAGAAGATGTGATGGTCAGGTGTCCACAAACTCTGGTCATATAGTATGTGATGGTCAGATGTCCACACACATTTGGTCATATAGTAGGTGTGATGGCGAGGTGTCCACAACATTAAGCCATAGTGTGTATTTTCTGCTATCAGTGCAGCTGGTTAGTTGGACCATTTCTCACCTTGGCTGATGGCTTTCAATTCCAGTGTTTTGGGGATACTGGCACCCGGAGCCTTACGAATGACTTTTGATTTGAAGAGAGTATTCACCAATGTGGATTTCCCCAAACCGCTCTGACCTGAAACAGGATAATAAAAATAGGAGTTGGCAAAATGGCAGATCCCGTGACCTGCAAGGAGAGGGAGCCTTGACTGCTGGAATCATGCAGTGAGGATGTGGACAGTAAAATGGACCCCTCCTGTATAAGGGGGCGTAATCAATTATTAATTGGGGGATAGCTTACAAAGGCGGAAACAAGTAAAGTGTTAGAAGTGGGAGGAAGTGGGCTTGCTGGCCACTTGGGAGTCAACCAGCAAGCTGAACATCCATCCGACACTGTTCCGACACCTCAAGCATGGATCCTGCAGCTGTGCTATGGAGAGTAAGGGAGATGCTGGAAAGGGGAGGAGGAGCCTCTCTTCTGCCTCTTATCGGCATGTAGCCGACAGCAGCTGCTACTACTACTGAAGACAACAAAAAGCAAAACGCACAAAAAAATCTCTCTTATAATAAAGCAAAAAGCGGAATCTGTCAGAGCAACCAATCAAATGTCCCAATTTTTTTGTACAAAGGACAAAGGACGGATTCTGAAAGTGACAGACTTATAAAAAGCAGAAGAGGGAAGCCAGGGACTTCTAGACAGAGACAAGCGAAGGAACAGAAAGTCAGCTACTTCTACTGAAAGCACGGCAAGCCATGGGAATTCTATACCATTGCACGGTTCTTAGACTGTATGTGTATCCTGCAGACAAGACACTCTGATCTTATCTTTGCAAATAAGCAAGGGGGCGTGTCTCACTCCTTAGCCACTCCCCTGCGGATGTGGGTTCAAACTGAGCATCTCAATATCAGGTTGATGCTATTAAAGGCCTGAGATCTTTGTTTTGCACGGCTGTAGTCAAGTCCTATGGTATGCTAAGTCTTCCATCTCTCTGGAACCCTATACAGTAGATTGGAGGTGTCCAGTGGCATCACAAGGGGGATGCGGGGGTGTTACCCGGGTGACACCATTGGAGGGGTGACACCAAAATGACTGACAGTCATTTTGGTGTCACCCCCTCTAAAAAGTCGGGCACTCGGTCATGGACCGAGAGCCCGACAGTGTCAGGAGAGAGGAGGGGACCCGGTGGCATACCTCATCCCGCCGGGTGAACGTCCCCCTCCTCTCTCTGCCGGTGTCCATCACAAAGATGTTCGACGGCAGGGGTCAAATAAATGACCGCATGCGCAATGATGTCACGGCGGGGTGTCACTCGGTCTCCGCTCCGGGACGTCCCTGGCGGTGTCACAATCCTCAAAGGAAGTTATTACTGCTTATGTTTTCCCTC